GAGAGAGGGTGTATGCTACAATTTATTCGTGCAGCTTCCATGCACAAATCATTGTAGTCTAAGATGTATGCAGTGAGTCCTTGCTTAGCTATAAATGATGCTCTGTAGAGCAGGTGGAAGGAATAGTCAATGTGATAAGGTTTGCAGACTGTTCTCTGAATAACCTAACCAGAATTAGCACGTCAGGATGAACAGAAATGCTAAGCAGATGGCTCCCACAGAATTTCAGCTAGGTAGAGCTGCAGATGATTGCCTTGTGTCTACCTAGACATTAAATGTTACTTCAGGTCTGTCTGATGGTTGATACGTCCAAAGGCACCCAATAGTATTAACCATCTGAAATCTCACACAGCTTGAAAAAGTTAATCATCCAACTCACTTGTGCTTGCTTTCAAAATGAATTCTGGCTCAATACTAAGTCAAAATACTCTGAAATGCTGCAAGCTCATTTTCCTATGCAGGCTAAATCCGCTGTGCTGTGCTAACTTCCTTCTTTCAATACCAAGGGGAACCATGTAAATGAAGAGATTGCATTTCTCAAACAGTAAGTTGCTCCTCAGTGCCCAAAGAAATACAAAGTTCATTTTACAGTTAACTTGCTGGATTTCTGATAATTTCACATAAAATAAAAAACCAGAAGGAACAGTATTAAAAGAAAATAAAGTATTTAAATCCAACAGGTAAACAAATTAAGTTCCTTTCCAAAAATAACTCCTCATAGTGAATGTAATACCTTAATATCTTTTCAGCAATAAAAAAAATTGCAAAAGCAGATGTTATGTATAATACATTTTAGTTTTATTAAAACTGAAAGAAAAACAACAAAACCAGAAAATAGAATTGCTTTCACCTGAAACAGCAGCCACTTGGCCCAGGGTTAAATTTTCTGTATAAAGGCAAAATCTGCTTTTATTTACATCTCTGCACCTCCACTGAGGTTCACTGGGTCTGGAGATAAGAGTCAGCTACAGAACATAATCTGGAGGCTATGGGAAAGGGTCTGCACTCCTTTGCCATCAGTTTGGTTGGTTGTTGTTTGTTTTTTTTTGTAACTCAATTACAGTCATATTTATCCTTCATTAGCCAGACTTTGCTATCCCCAAGATACAAGACAGTGACATGGATGAGAGCTGATCACAAGTTCCACTGAAGTAACCAAATTGTAGAAGATGATACCTTGTAATGCCTCTTAAATTGTACCAAGGATCTTCCACTGTCCTTTAGGGAAGAATTGAATATTAGAGGTGCTCAGCCTCTGTCACTCAGGTTTGTTATTTGAGTCTCAATGCTTTCATAAGATGTCAGCTTTTTCTTATACCTACAGAGCTTACAGGCATTTGCATGATCTGTATCTGAGTTAGGAAACAGAAGCAGTATTACATGTACAATCGTGTCTGGTATGTATCTGTTAGGCATAGAGATAGATGGTGTTGATGTAGAAACCAAAATGAGCATCTATCCCAAAACAAAGATATACTGTGTACATGAAACATCCCAGTGGATTGCTGTTTGAAGAGGGACCTCATGACCTATTCAAATTAGAATCTCAGACTACAAAAATGAAGATAGGAGAGGTGATCAAAATTCTCTAGTTGCTAGGCATTTTATGGAAAGAGGCCACATTCACTCATCTTATTAAAATTCATGGAAATTGAAAATATCCAAAAGCCTGGGAGAGGTGGGGTCTGAAAATCTATTTCACAGAACTGGGAAGCTTACTCTATATTCACCTTGAAAGCACTTTCCCCATCACAGACTTCCTGAGAGCCTTTTGATTTCTCTCCTACTTAGGAGGTAATTATAGAACTTCTTTTCCTCCCTGACTAATGTATACAGAAAGGGGTCACTTCGGCATTTTATGCAGTTCATCATGGTTTATTCCTAACTAGATCTTTGTTGGAAATTATTTCTCCTTTGTGCTCTCTCTGTTTCATCTAGCAAGCTTTATTTTTATTTCCTTCTATTTCCCGTATTTTGTCCTCTGTCTGTATCATTTGATATCATAACTGCTCTAGTATTAAATACTGTTGAACTCTGCACTTCTATTTTCCTCTTTGTCCTTTATTTTTAAATTTACTATTGTCAGTAAACAATGACAGTCAGGCACAGGGATGATGGAAGAGGCACACTAACCAAAAGCTACATAGCATATTTCTCTTGAGAATAAAACTTCTAAAAGCTATGACTCCAAAGGAAAAGACTGAATACTTCCCAAGAGGTTTTTTAGGCGCACTAGAATCATGTGAGATACTTAAGATTATCACAGTCATTTCTGTCAAGAAGATTTTGACTTCATGACTTTAAATTGACAACGCTGGATAGATACTTGGCTCATGTGGTCTGACCTGACTCTCACAGCTTCTGCTGCTTTCAATATCTTGTACAAAGTGACCCTAAGAGGAAGATGTGATGGGAAATTCTGCACCACCCCATGTCCTCATCAGGGAAGTCTGTCTCCTCGTAACACTACTACAAAGGTACAAGAGTATTTCTCCATGCTCAGGTACCTCCCCTGCCTTTGGAACTTACTAGGTTTAAGACTTATTAATAGCTAATAAGCACAATGTTTTCAAGATTAAACATAGGCTGAGATATAGACTCACAGAATAAACTAGGCTGGAAAAGACCTTTAAGATCATCAAGTCCAAACATTACTCTGGGACTGCCAAGCCCATCACTAAATCAAACAACAAAAACAATGCTGTTTTAGGCAAGTCAGGAGTCAAGAACCCTAACTTCTTTTTTTGCTAGTAGCTCAACTTTATTCTTAAAAGAAAGCTGGAATAGGGTAGGTATCTTAAATTGCTTTTCTAGTATGAATAAAAATTTCAGAACATGAACAACAGCAGTACTTCAGCAACCAGTTTGCTAATTATACAAGGATACACAGCATTCCATATAGAAGTAGCAAACTTCTGTGTAACTCCTCACATGTTTTCTCCAAGTGACACCTGTGGTCAACAACACAGTAACATTTGACCTGAATTCACCAAACATGTAACTGCTAATGAAGGAAAACCATGAAATGTTCTTCCATGAAGAAGCTTTCAATATTTCTATATTAAGAGATGATAATGAAGATTTTCTACAAAGCCCTCAGATAGATGGGGCTGCTTCGAAAACAAATAGTCACAGATGTAACTTAACAAAATCCCATGTTGCCAAAAGATTTGCCCCTTCAAGGTATTAAGAACAGAGTTTTCCTCAGCCTAACTGTCCTGCTATCTGTATTTTTCATTTAGCCAGCTCTCCCACTCCCCTGAGACAAATTATTCATTACTTCAATAATAGTTGTTGAGGCTTTTCTGCATCTAAGATAATTCAAGCACAAAGAATCTAAGTATCCTTATATACATAAGGTGCCTTAAAAGAGAAACTTCTAATATTTATCAAGCTTAAGCATAGGCTTCCTCCCCCGCCCCAATGAGCAACATTCATACGACCAACTCCAAAGGAATCTAAAGCAGCACCAATGTTTTTCTCTTCACTCCTGTCTGTCCCCCTGGCATTAATTTCTCCCTCTTTCAGAATCCTATTTGGCACATTGAAGAAGCTTTTTCAATAAATCCATACTGTAATAAAAAATGACTGCCTCTATGTACTCCACATATTAAGCAAGTTTCTCTTGTACAGATAAAACCATTCAACTTATACTCTGTATTTGACATTCATTTTGAATAACAGACCTTAATAAAAGAAGCACCTGGCAAAACCGTGAATCTAGAATAGCTCAACGTTGTCTGTTTTGACAATATTGCTCCTGATGATGCTTAACAGCTAACCAATTTGATTTGGTTTCAGAAAGAATTATAGCATTTTGCTGTTTTCAAAGTTTTCTTCCAAAAAACAATAACCATCTAAACCAACTGCTATAAGGATAGGTATGTTATCCAGGAACATCTATTTTTGTCAGCAAAATGGAAGGCTACTGTTTTCAGCAAGAATGAAATTATCAGCTTATGCATGAAAAAAAATGTTACAAACCCCTCAAATTATGTTTAATTCTAAAATTGTTATTGCGTAAATATCCCTTGTCATGATTTACGCCCGGCTGGAAGCTCAGCCCCACACAGCTGATCACTCACTCCCCCCGTGGTGGGACTGGAGAATCAGAGTTAAACAGAAAACTCATGGGTCAAGATAAAGACAGTTTAAAGGTAAAGCAAAAGCTGCTCACACAAGCAAAGCAAACAAAGGAATTCATTCATCACTTCCAGTGGTCAAGCAGGTGAGCAGGGCTCCATCACACATAACGCTACTTCGGAAGCCAAACAACATTCCAGATGTTCTCCATCTCCAAATGTTCCTTTCCTCAGCCCTATACTGAGTATGATGGCATATAGTGTTGGGGTCAGCTTTCCCAGCTGTGTCCCCCCCAACTCCTTGTGCACCCCTAGGTGGTGGGTTGGGTTGCGAAGCAGAAAAGGCCTTGACTCTGTAAGCACTGCTTAGCAATAACTGAAATCATCTCCATGTTACCAACACTACTTCCAACACAAATCCAAAACACAGCCCTAAACTAGCTACTGTGAAGAAAATTAACTCTACTCCAGCCAAAAAGAGCACATCCTTGTGGCACCTATATGGAAAGCAATATATACATGGTAAAACTGCTCCCCAGCACATGTACACGCAAAGAACAAACTACCTTCCAAAATGTTGTGCTTAAGAGAACGATTTTCAGAACTACATCTCTGTCTCACATCTACTCTATGAAACTAATAGGACAAAAAGTCAGGGAAAGGAAAGCCATAAGACACTCACTGAGGAATACCAACAACAAAATAGATATCTGTTTGTTCCAACAATTGCCATCAACCCAAACGGGCTTTGCCAATCTGGGTTCAGGCCTCCTGAAAGCAGCTGCAATTTGAGTCACTGGTTTGAGCAAATCACTGTTCTGTCCTCACAAAAACAACACTGCAAAGTCGTATGAGTACGGAGTTCCTAAATCCACAGTCAATCAGCATCATAACAACATAAGCTTCCATTTCACTTACCCAGATATTTCCATCTTGGTGGTATGGTTTCCAGTTTCTTCCTGTATCACTATAGAGCATCCGATATTGAGTGACCCAGTCAGAACTGCTGTACCTGCCTTGAGTTGCAACAGCACTGATCTGCTTCCTGTTCCCAAAATCCACCTGCAGCCATTGATAATGATCACTGTCTGATGGAGACCAACCTCCTGCACCTGTTGGGTTGAAACAGAGGAGAGATTTAGACCTCAAACACAGGCTTTGAAGTGAACACGTTGTGAAGATGCCGACTGCTGGAAGGCAGCCCAGCTGAAAGCAGTGTGATACCAAAAATACTTGAAACATACAAGAGAAATATGAGTGCATATTTTTTTAAGGTGCACTTTCAGCACATGCTTCAAAGGCATTAAACTCTGTTGCCTTTATCATTTCTCCACTTAATTATAATGATTTAATGGGCTGCCTGCTAACAAAACAGTGCCTTTATAATGCCTTAACTACAGTGGATTAGTTTTTGCCAAGTTACAGTTGTTCCAAGGGTTGCCCCATTTGCTATGAAATCCTTCTTTAGAGGAAACTGGCACAGATCAATAATCGTCCTTGAACTCTGTATAACTTTCCTATAATATTTCCTGTTAAAAAGATAATATAGATAAACCAGGAGGAAATAAGAGCAAGTTCTACGCTTTCCTATGTTTCAGGATAGTGCAACAAACCAAAAGATCTAGCAGTAGAACTGAAAAAGGAGCAGGTAGCGCATGGCTGGATCCAGCTTTGATCTGCTGGGTATACAAGCTGTCCCAGATTACATTGGCAGATGCCTCACAGAAGTGTTACTGCTCTTTATTGGTCTATAAATTAACTTGACAGTAACACTATTAACAATATTATTCTCAGCCACAGACTACATAGAACTGTTCTAAATAAAGAAGGCCAGTGATACATGGATAAAATACACAATCCCTTATTCTTCTGAAATAAAAAAAAAATAAGGGGAAAACTGTAGTTGGATACTGCAGACAACAATATAGAATCTTAGAATCAACTAGGCTGGAAAAGACCTCCAAGATCATTGAGTCCAACCGTTGCCCCAGGACTGCCAAGACCACCATTAAACCATGTCACTAAGGGCAAACTGATCTCCTCTCCTTGCTGCCCCTCATGATCTCCAGTCAGTCATGGCTCATCTCCTCTCATGACTGTCCTTTATGGTCTCCACTCAAAGCCATCCCCCACATAATGCCCTAGTCTGTATAGCTGCCATCCCTACCCCTCATAGCCACACCTCATTTCCCCTCACAAGAACTCCCATCATGGCCACTTGCCATAGCTCATGGCTGCCCCGGCTCTCCTCTCATGATCACCCCTCACGGCCACCCCTCCTCTCCCCTCACGTCTACCCCTCAAAAACTCCACTCATTAACTGCCCTCACCCCTGCCCCTCACAAACTCCCCTCATGAGCTCCCCTTATACCTGCCCCTCACGGGCTTCCCTCACGAACTGCCCTCATGTTTGCCCCTCATGAGCTCCCCTCATGTTTGCCCCTCATGCGCTTCCCTCACGAACTCCCCTCATGTTTGCCCCTCACAAGCTGCCGTCATGCCTCTCTCTCACAAACTCCCCTCATGAACTCCCCTCACCAGCTCCCCTCATGTCTGCCCTCACAAACTCCCCTCACGAGCTCCCGTCTGCCCCTCACGAACTCCCCTCAGCAGCTCCTCTCTTGTCCGCCCCTCACAAACTCCCTTCATGAGCTCCCCTCATGTCTGCCCCTCACAAGCTCCCCTCATGAACTCCCCTCACTTCTGCCCGTCATGAACTTCCCTCATGTCTGCCCCTCACAAACTCCCCTCACGACCTCCCCTCATGCACTTCCCTCATGTCTGCCCCTCACAAACTCCCCTCACCAGCTCCCCTCATGTCTGCCCCTCACAAACTCCCTTCATGAGCTCCCCTCATGTCTGCCCCTCACAAACTCCCCTCACTTCTGTCCCTCACGAGCTCCCCTCACTTCTGCCCCTCATTAACTCCCCTCATGTCTGCCCCTCACAAACTCCCCTCATGAACTCCCCTCATACGCTCCCCTCACGACCTCCCCTCATGTCTGCTCCTCACGACCTCCCCTCATGAACTTCCCTCATGTCCGCCCCTCACAAACTCCCCTCATGTCTGCTCCTCACGACCTCCCCTCATGTCCGCCCCTCACACGCTCCCCTCACTTCTGCCCCTCATGCACTCCCCTCATGTCTGCTCCTCACCACCTCCCCTCATGCACTCCCCTCATGTCTGCCCCTCACATGCTCTCCTCAGCAGCTCCCCTAATGCCTGCCCCTCACAAGCTCCCCTCACGAACTTCCCTTATGATCTTCCCTTTGACTCACCAAGCTGTGTAACCTGGGGGAGCCAACTACTTTCTCCATTGTGTTTGTGATATGCGTAACCTCTATTGAGCCAAGGATTAACGAAGGTCCCTCTTTTCTCAGATACATGATCTAAGTTCTGAAGAAGTTGGATTAGATAAAAGTTTCCCAGCTGTGAGATCCTTGCAAAGGCCCTAAGTTTATCAAAGGAAATGAAGCACATTTGTGTCTTCATTCACTCTAAGCAGGTACAAACCCCTCACACCTCCAGGGACGTGCACACACTCCCAGCTCAGCATATCACTGAATATTTTGCTAGGTAAAATCCAGCTTCTTCACTGGAATTAAGCAATTGGTTTGATGTTGGACTGGGAACAGAGGAGTTACTCACAAAACAGTTGACACATTTTGCCTTTTTAAAGAAACAGTCAATTTGGAAACCAAACCTGATTTCCATAATATGGCATTATATTCAAAATACACTTACTTTTATGACCAATATATGATGACAGAATAATTAGTTATCTTTCAGGAATCAGCAAAATGAGTATTAGGAAATACATGAAGGAAAAAAAAAATACCTATCAATATAGAGAAAACCTAGAGAATAATTCTCTTTATATTCATAGCAGGTATTATGGTGCAGAAAACAAACTTTGCAGACTTAATTACAGGGTTTTTTTGTGTTTAAGTTTGAACCATATAAATTTCCTGGCACATCACAAAATCACACAGTCTAGTCTATGGGCCAATTTGCTTTTAATTTCGCTTACGGACTTCAAATGAAGTCACAAAAAAAAGGCTGCTTGCCAAGCAAGTCCTTGCTATACTGAATTTTATATGCTCCCATCATTAGGCGGCAGCATTGCCTCAGTCTTAGACAAGCCTACAGCTCATTCAGCTCCTACAGGTGTTATAACATTTGCAGGTGACAGGCCGTTGTAATGCTCTGATATCAACGGGATCACTGATGTCATAAGTGGTCACCTTTCATTGTAATAATTACTGTAACATTCTGCCAATGACATCTAATTTGTTTAAAATGTTAAAGGCTTACAATAGATGCTTTGTCCTTGCACTACAGGTAAGACTACTCAGCAATAGAAAAAGATACTTCAGGGGTAGGGAACAGTTACATCCTATTAAAACAAAGCAAAACACCCTTACTAAAAAAACTTGAAGCGAAAAGTATTCCCATGCATTCCCAAAATCAAACTGGCTCAATTCGTGAATAGAATGGTAACTGGCCATTTAAGAACAGAATTTCGTCATGACTATTATAGAAGGAGACTGGAACAGCGGGCTCTACACACTTGTCACAATAGCAGAGACGCTGCTTTCTCTCCCTGTCCTAGCACCCCTGTGCAATTGGCATATCCGAGACTAATTGCACACAAAGGATAAGAAGCTGCCCCTGTACAGAAGCCAGCTTTGCAAAAGGACCCTTTGGTAGCTCCAGGAATATCTAAGGTTCAAATGTGAGCATTCCAAAATTATTATGCAAGACAGAGTTGATAAATCCATCAATAAAATGTCCTTCTGCAATGTAACTGTTGACAAAAGATTACATACTATAGCTATAGGAAGGCTAAAAGAGACATTGTGAGGTTTATACTTTTTGTTTATGCAGGATTGCACTGAAACAGATTTTTGTTATACATAATTATAAGAAAATACTTGTAACATGATATACATTTATAATACTGAGATGAGATTTTGGCCTTCTTTGATAAACTCATTCATTCACTGTAAATTGCAAGGAGGCTTCAGAAAGTCTTCAAATACAAATCCATTTAAAAGTTTTGAAAAATTGTGTGCTAACATTAGCTTCCCTTTTTTATTATTTTTTTAAATGTAAGAAAAGGCAAAAAATATTCTTCACATCGTGCCTGCAAAAAGTTAGACCACTGAGCTAGGCCACGAGATGGAAACACAAGTACTGTACAATGGCCTGCCATATAACCATTGCTGATGAGCAAAAGACAAGACTTTCAGTCAGTACTGCAGACAGCAGCAAACAATATTACCCCACTGGTTTCTTGACCTAATTCTCTTAGTCTCACATTTGCATTCCAACTTTTCCAAGCAAGTAAATGAATAAATAGTCCAAAGGAGGAAGGGGAAACATCTGGACTGTAGCTAAATGTGGTGCTATCTAGACCTGCATGGGAAAGGAATGGTGAGCAGTCTGTGGCTGGGGAGGCATCAGTCATTCACCAAAAGCAGCCTGTGGTGATCAGCTGCATTTCCTCTTCCCCTTTGACTTACCAAGCTGTGTAACCTGGGGGAGCCAACTACTTTCTCCATTGTGTTTGTGATATGTGTAACCTCTATTGAGCCAAGGATTAATGAAGGTCCCTCTTTTCTCAGGTGCATGATCTAAGTTATTAAGAAGTTGGATTAGATATTAAGTTTCCCAGCTGTGAGATCCTTGCAAATGCCCTAAGTTTATCAGAGGAAATGAAGCACATTTGTGTCTTCATTCACTCTAAGCAGGTACAAACCCCTCACATCTCAAGAAACGTGCATTCACAGCTCAGCAGATCACTAAATATTTTGCTCAATAAAACCCAGCTTCTTCACTGGAATTAAGCAATTGGTTTGATGTTGGACTGGGAACAGAGGAGCTACAAAATAGTTAACACATTTTGCCTTTAAAGGAACAGTCAATTTGGAAACCAAACCTGATTTCCATAATATGGCATTATATTCGAAATACACTTACTTTTATGGCCAATATATGATGACAGAATAATGAAGTATCTTTCAGGAATCAGCAAAATGACAGCACATTAGTAATTTTCAGTGAGCATTACTTTGTATTGAAATTGCAATGTATATTATATTTGTTGAA